AAAAAAGAAAAAAGAGCCACCTCACTTGGTGCTGACCACATCAAAGCAAACCTGGCTATTAATGGCCAAGGAGAGGACTGGAGGCCGCATTACCATCACACACACCTCACCGTCCTCATCTACAATCAGCAACGCGTCTCAGTGTGTGTGTGTGTCTCTGTGTGTTTGCTTTACAGTGGGCACCACGAGCACACAATTCCAGGAAAACAAACTACTTTCTATACCCATAACAACCAGAAGCTGTTGTTGCCTCTCACAATTAATTAGGCAACTTATTGAGCTCAAGATGCAATATGCATGTTAATTTAATGGGTTATGTCTGGTTTCAGAGAAGAGGGGAAACGCTTTGATGTTTACAAAACTTGGCAGTAAATCACTGGCGGCAAACAATTACGGAATTAATGAAGACGGAGAGAACAATCGCAAAGGCCATTGTTGCAAACGCATGCATGTTAATATCTTAAAACGCACGCACGCTGAATGGGATTCTGACCAATGGTGCGCTGCGGAGCGTATTCAGGCTCAACATCAATGCTCTCTTACTGGTCGTGAGTGCATCAAGTGTGATGGTGGGCTTACCTTTCTTTGTTGACAAGTGGTGTTGATTTTGGAGCAGGTTTATGCTCACTGAGAATAGGATTCAGATTTAAAAAACGCACAACGCCAATTATGAAAAAGGCACATATGCATGCACGGAGGTGTTACAGTATACTGAACAAGCCAGCCATCAAAGGCATGTTTCTCTTATCCACTCTAACTGTTCACTGACAGGTGGATGCTATCAAACTTGTGAACATAGCACACATAGAATAGCATGCATGTCCATTTTTCATGTCCCCACGGCTCGTATCGGGCAGTGTAACACACATAGGTACGTTCTGAACCAACCGACCAAAGCGTGCTGCCATATCAGAATGAATTTGACAGTCATCAGCATCATCGCACAGCTAATGTTCAAACCCGAGCTAATTTAGGAATTGCAGTCTTTGGGCTGATTTGTTTGCATGGTGGAGCAGAAATGAGTGATTCAGGTCACATGCAAATGTCTTGCTTGTCATATTTTTCAGCATGTGTTGATCCATCTGGAGCTTACAGCGGAATAATAAGAACAAGCCTGGCTAGCATGTGCCGACATTTCGAAGGGCGGCAAAGACACACTCAGCCGCTCAGGGCGGTGTACTGCAGAGAAACCGAAGAAGAGTGCATTTCTGCCCTCTCAAACAATAAGATAAGTTAACAGTGTCCCCCCCGAGACACCTGACTTCACCTAACACACAGGCTCTACCCACAGTCAGGCATAAAAGATTGCTCAGTGCGAAGCATTCTAGTGGACTATTTGTGTAGATTCTATTCCTCTCCCATGTTGACAGCTGCAGGGGAAAGATGTCTGTGCACTCCGTGGCGCCACCAAAATTAATTAAGCACGACTTTGGGTCGTGATCACACATGTCATATTCGATTTCCGAGCGGGAATCTTTTTTTTTTCCGCGCCGAGCGCGGGGCCGTGTCTAATTATGGAAAAAGTTGTCAAGGCGTTGGAGCTCCTGCTTGGTATCTTGCGTGTGGTACCCGCCCGGGAAACAACAGGCTGTCGGAAACCTGCGCCCACCACTGCCTCCCGGGCTAAAACCTGTGCGGTAACGCGCGGGCCCCGTGAGCTGTCGGTGAGGCCGAGACGCCCCCCCCCGATGTAATTCGCAGGGACGGCCAGAACAGTGGGCAGCCGCTAAGCAGGAGTAGATTCTTGATGATGGTCCTCATTCAGTCTACCACCAGCCAGGCAGGCCATGAAATTTGCTGAGGAAAGAGAGGTCACTCAGTGTAGCAACCTGCACCGTCTTACAGCACAAATGCAACCAGGACTAACGGTAGGTCGGTTATCGTACACCCAATACTGAGTGATGATAGAGCCCTTAATCTTAAGAACTCTAAAGAGAGTAAAGGGAGCAGCTTTAGGCTGATCAGAAGGGAAACTTTATGTCTAAAACTGTATGTCTTCCCTCAAACGTATCATCTAGCCGTAGTGGATGCTTGGGGAAATTCGATATCTGGCTAAATGTCCTCACAGAGAGAGGGGGAAAGTGGAAAAATGTTACACACATTAAAAATGAACTGTCCAATCAAATGAAGCTTGCCAAAAACTGTATATAGTCCATGCAGACCCTTGACATTTCGCTAACAACAGCACTGATCTTTCCTGACAAAGTTTAGCATAGTACAGTAAAGTTAACAAATGACATTTTTATGAAAAGTGGAGGTGAGGGACACTAGTTTGTCCCTTCACGGGGATTTTTAATGCAGCGACCCTTTCACGTTGTCGAAAAAGTTTATCAAAAGAGCAGACTAAGGTTGCACGCTGGCTGAATTCCTTTCACATTTACTGGCTGCACTCGGCGATCAATGAGTTTCAACTTCCCCGGCTGCCGCCGCTGGCTCGGATAAATATTGCTCTTTGTTAAGGGAGAGGAAAAAGCAGCCTACAGGTGCACGGAAAGTCCTTGAAGTGTAAACATTTGTCCGGTGGACAGTGGCAGTTTTATCATATGAATAGCCGATGCTAGGTGGCTGAAACAAAAACAGCATGTCTTCATTTGTCAGGGCCCACACTTTTACAAATTCTTCAAGTTTTTTTTTTTACAACAGCAAAGAAAACATTTTTTGTAATCTTCTTTATTCCGTTCTTTGTTCTTCTCTTGCGTTCTCTCCAAATTCATTGGAATATTAGTAAGTAAGCAACAGTCCAACAAAGTCTGTGTATTTAGCATTGTTTAAGGAAAAAAATCCCTTGTGCATTTGAATGTTTTTACCCATTAAAATGTACAAAAACATTTCTTATGGCTATGGCTGATTGGCAAATGCACTAGAAATTTTAGTAGGTTTGATCTAAGGCATCTTTGAAATACCAGTTATATCATCCAAATGTCACTCACTTCAGCTCCCCCTTTTGTACACAGTCTCATAAACACTGATTTCTGCTCAAACGGTGTGTTCAGGCTCCCTCTGCTGGGCTCACATCGATGTTGACGTTATTGTAGCACGCATCTGTGATAAGTAATTGAGTTCCATCCATCCATTGTCTATCTCACTTACTCCTAGTCAGGTCGCGAGGTGGCTGAAGCCTATTCCAAAGCTAACATTGCAGGTCCAGAAATTGAGTTGCGCGTGTCAAATTCTAATCCTGAGCTAAAATATCATTACATTGAAATGTTTACAGCGTCCCAGTTAGCCGCCAGCACAGTGTTTCTGGTCTCTAATGTACAGGATACATGGGAGAAATGACTATATCGTGCAGCATGGTGGATGCACAGATGGGGGAGTGAGGCCGGGAGGATGGCTAGACAGACCCGCTCTGAGAAATTTTTCCCGGGGGGCTTTTACTGATTGGCATCGATCAAAAGGTCTTAACAAGGTGCCATTTAATGTGGCTGTAAACAAGGTCAAAGGGAGGAAAGGTTGCAGCTGTAATACAGTTTGTCCCAGCTTTACAAATAGAGTGTATGTAAATGTGTGTGTAAAAAAATGTGCAATAATGTAAAAAAACACAAGTAGAACAAAATGGCAGATAAATAATTGCAGATAGATGAATCCCACAGATCAATTAGCTAAAGTTTACTGTAGGGGTCAAAAAGTTAGCTAAAAGTTAAAGAACTGTCTCTAGCTGAATACCGTTCTGCAGCAACTAAATAAATGTTGAAATAACTTTAGAGCATACCTAAAATAGCTACATTGCTGCCGTTGGTTTTTCTAATGAGATAAAGCTGAATGGATATACCTCTGATGGGCCCTGACACATAAACTGATAGCTGGATGGTGTGGATATGGAGACATATTGGACATAGGGCAGAGCAGTGCTAGCCCCCAGGGCTGATCTGGGAATTTAAAGGGTGGGCGAATAAAAGAAAGCGGGAGAAACAAATGACTCTCAGAAAGTTGCCCCGGGCGGGACGCGCAGCACTGGACGCTGACTGGTCTGTTTGCTAACTGGATGTATTGACTTCACACTGGGACGGGCAGCGAGCCAGTCAAGGTCCCTGGTACTGGCTGTCTGGCTCGTTATTGACTGCTTAATCGATGTAAAATCATCACCATAAAAGACAGATGATGCCACATGATGCCGTATCGTTTGAACAGCTTAATTCACCTGCTGTGATTTTGTGTCTCCAACGTGTTCCACACACTCCGTGTGATTGACTATCTATGGGTTATTTAACATTAAAATGAGTTTTATGTCATTTCTTTATGAATCTGAAAAGAGTAAGCTTCTTGGACCTGTTATTCTTTAACACAAAAACATTTGTAAGCTCCTTGTCCATCATGTGGCCACTTTATTATGACACAAACTGGCCTCCGGATGGAGCCAGAACATCACAAATATAAGGTATTTCATTTGCCTAGGTTCAAATTGCTTCCAATGAACATTTCAAAATAGAAATATACTATAAAATATAAATATATTAACAAAACATTATGTTGTTCACCTTATTGAGGGATTAGATCATTACCATATTTAAAGTAAGATACTAAAGTGTGTGTTTCAGTGTGAGGAGCATCAGTGCATGGCTTTAAAATCCTCCAAAAGTCTTGATTTAATCAAGGTATAATACTTGTGCCAGTTTAATAAATCATTGTCAGATGTGAAATGATGACCCATAGAAAAATGTAATCAAAACCATCTTTATTTGACAAATTTCTCTTTGGAAATAGCTGTCACCATCACAAAGTATCTGCCTATTACAGTACAAGTAAAAGGAAACCCATTAAGGGCCATTCCCAGATATTTGAACGGGAAAGAATTGGATAACAACTACTGGTACGTCATTTCACAAGTTCAATAAGATGCTCTGAGTTCCTGAATTACTAAGCGGACCTCCTTCAAGTACAAATATCAGAGATGTAGTAGATTCTACCCGAGTTGCCACCGTTTGTTTCAAAGAAAAGACATCGATGGGAAAACGATACACAGCGGCACGCATTGGGATGGTGCTGCGCGTCTTGGTCTATTACAGTTTGCACGTCTGCACGGCCATGCAGTCCTCTGGCCAGTGGTAGGAGTCAACGGTCAGCTCGTCGTAGTCGGTGCTGAAGGAGTGGGAGCGGACGAAGGCGTCTTTGTCGGACGGCTCTGGGCGGAGTGTGGCCATGCCGTGCTCGTAAGCGTACTCAATGATCTGCAACACACACACGTTTAATTGTTTTGGGGTATTTTTTACGTCGCGTGACTCGGCGGTTCTGGATCCGGACAGTTCTCACCTTGACGGCCAGCTTGATGGAGACGTCCCTGATGGAGCTGAGAGGAGGATAGAGCCTTCCCTCTGCCAGGTCTTTTTCCGTCACCAGGTGTGCAAGCGCCTGCCCAGCAGTCGACAAACAGGTCAGACAGAAAAAAAAAACAAAGGAAGAAACACCAAACTCCACACCGGGGGACATCCAGGGATCAAACACAGATCACATATTCCTGGGTTTTCAACCCAACAACAAACTGGACTGGACTGTTAACACTGACACCTCAGTCTCCACCTGCTGAGCAGGCTGAGTTCATTCGGATGCATGCAGGACTCTTTGAAAGACTTTTCATGACTCGGTTGGTGGCCTCATTCATTTCCTATGCCGTGGTCTGCTGGGCAGAGACAGGAGCGGGCTCAACAGACTGACCAGGAGAGCCAGCTGTGGCCTGGACTGTCCACTGGACTCCATGGAGGAAGTGGAGGAGAGAGCTAAATCGGCCAAGCTAAATCGTGCTTTAGCCTCATTGGTCACTTGGTTACTTTACACTGTGGCACCTAAACATTTGATAACATATAATTTTATAATATTTTAGAACATTTTATAATATTTTGCTCACTGGTAATACTTTGTTAACTCCCCCTGTACATACCTTTACCTCTGCCTCTACCAGGCTTGTGTTTTTCCCTTTCTGCCCCACTGTGGGATCGACAAAGTACCTTAATCTGATCTAATCTAACAAAGGAGCGCAGAACATCAGCCCGCCGGGGCCTCACCTCGGCGGCGGTCAGGAAGATCTCCTCGGGGATGTGCCGCAGGGCGCAGGTGGTGAAGCCCAAGCCCACGCCGGGGAAGATGTAGGCGTTGTTGCCCTGGCCGGGGTAGAAGGTCCTCCCGTCGGGCAGGGTGACCGGGTCGAAGGGGCTGCCGCTGGCGAAGATGCCCCGGCCCTGCAGCACAGAGCACCGGTCAGCCGCCCCAGGCCGCCACAGGCCGGCGCCAGCTCGGGGCCGGAAGGGTTTACCTCTGTGATGGCGTAGCACTGCTCGGCCGTGCACTCGGCTTTGCTGGTGGGGTTGCTGAGGGCGAAGATGATGGGGCGCTGGTTGAACGAGGCCATGTCCCTGATGATCGGCTCGGAGAAGGCCCCGGCCACGGCCGCCACACCTGGAACAGATGTCGGTCATTGTTTCGGGGCTTCTTTGGACGTTTGGCATGTCCAGCGTTTCTCTCTGGTCACCCCGGTTCTAGGTTTTACCGATGAGAGCCGTGGGCTTCAGTTCCCTGACCACGTCCTCCAGGTTTCTCATCTGAGGATGTTCGTGAGCGAACCTCTCCTTCTCGTGAGTCAGATTGTCCCGACCCTTTGGATTCAGAAAGGGGTTAAGAGTAAAGACATTCACACAGCAGTGGAGACGAGTTCCCCCCCAAAGGGGGTCCGAAATGGAGAGTTAGTCTGTACGAATGCTGGTCTATCTACTGTGGATTACATCAGATCTGGGCAGTTTTTTGGCCTGTTTGCGTACTTGTTTTCACATGTTAGGTAGTGTGTGTTTGCTTGAAGGCTTAATAGGAGACACCTTGACAATAAGACCCTTGGAATCAACCATCCAGATTTTTTTTAAGCTCTCCTCTATGGAGAGTCCCTCCTTAGCCATGGCCATGGTGATCAGCTCAGCAATCCCCATTGCTGCCTGGGAACAAGAGCAAAAAGAAGGATTACGAGAGGAGCTCCTCCTCCACACCAGTTCTGTCCCTTTTAGTTTCTAATGGTTCAAATTTTAGAAGCCTCACACTCTCACACACCCTCTTTCTGTCAGAGTATCCAGACATTTCTTTAAATAGAGTTCTCTGCATCAAAATCTTTATCCAATATACTCTACATGTTTTAGGGGTTTGCAGACAAAAGTGCAGCTCTTACCTCCCCTGCTCCTTGGAACACAATGGTATGGTCACACATTTTGGTTTTGGTGATGCGGAGAGCGGCCAGGAGTCCAGCCACCGCTACTGCAGCAGTTCCTGAATACCAAAAACACCATGGGTTAAAAAGAGGCGCAATGTACTGATACTGACGCCATCTTCTGGGCTCATAACACTAATGTTAATGCTGCACTTTCAGAGAGTTGAAAAACCCAAGTCTAAGAGACATAAAGTGTGTGGGTCAATTGAATGATGTACTTCAATGGAAGCATTTTGTAAAATGAACTGATGCATAATGTTTTCATAAATCTGAACGTATTACTTTTCAAACAGGGCTTGACTTTATGCATACCTCATCAGAGCTTTAACTGCTCACACAGGAGCTGGTGTCATCATAAAAGTCCAGACTTTCTAACGAAACTTCATCAAGTATCCTGAAATTTATACTTTCCTATCATCTCTTCTTCTGAGGCTAAATTGACTTCATATTTAGCCCCCATTTGAGATATCGGCTTCACAACTACCAACGTTTGAGCTGGTTTGGTCTTTTGGATTGCCTCATTACGCATCGCTGATACCACATCCATCAGTTGTAGATACAATAGAAAACGCTCCAACAGAAGGCGTCCGTTTGTGTGCTTTTGTGAATATGCCTGCCTCTTAAATTACCTTGGATGTCATCGTTGAATGTGCAGTACATGTTGCGGTACTTGCTCAGCAGACGGAAAGCATTAATGTTTGCAAAGTCCTCGAACTGGATCAGACAGTCCATTCCATACCTGCACACAGAAGAGCTGCGTTTAATACGACTGAGCTAACATCCTACGCACACACACACACATTCTATAATAAATCTTTGCCATTTGACCGAAGGGCACCTGTTTCCTTCAGTTTTATGACAGCACCTCACAATGAGTTTCAATGAGGGAGGTCAAACATCTAATAAAGAATCACACAGGCACAAAAGAACACGGCGCCAACCCCGTAAAGCAGCAGTCTTTGCTTTTACAAGTTGTTGCCTAGACCACCTATCGCATTCAGCCAGTGCACCAACATAGAGGCCGGGGTTCAGAAGTTCCTACAAAAGCATCATAAGACAAAAAAAATGTGGCCAGCATTACTGGTCTGTAAATTAGATTTAGACGCGACAAAAGCATTCCCAGGTTCCCAAGCCTTTCAGCAGATGGAACTTTTGTTCAGGAATTCAGTGGATGTTTGCAGAGCAACGGCTGTTGCTGTTTCTATGAAGAGAGAGAGAGGTTTTCAGCTGTTGGAAAAGGAGAGAAGGTCGGCAAAGCTGGTTTTCAGAGAACAATCAATTTTCCTGCAGATTCTTTGTCAGATGTCGCTGCAAAAATACAGTATTCGGCCCAGATATTTGATTAGCAACAAACTCTATAATGACTCACTCTTGTTAGAAGGTCTGTCTAGTTGGTCTGTAGTTGTGTTTCTTCCAGTTGGTCACTTAATGCAACATATTGTTTGTGCTTCATGCTCTCTTTGGTTGTTTGGTTTAAAACTAGCTTACATTTATCAAGGTGTACATTTGGTGACTCTTCTTTCAAATGTATTTTAAATATGCATTTTTATCTATGATATATAACCCGAAGGTAACATCTGTATGATCTGGTTTGAATTCATGTAACTCTGATGTGGGTAATGAGTTTAGCCATAGAAACTGGATAAACCTTCCCTAATAAAACCAAGGACAAGATGTACTATTTAGAAATGGTAAAAAATATTAAACAATGGATATAATAGTAAATAACATACTTTAAAAAACTCAGTTTGTGCATTTAAATGAATGAAAACTAACCACTGAAATGACGTACACTGGTTAACTCGTTTTTCTCTACAGTTGTTTCAGATTAATCCAGAGTTTGCATGTATGCTCTTTTGAGATTGTGGTTTAAGGAAAGGTAAAAAAACCAAAAAGAATCTTTGATGAATCCAAGATGAAATGTTAAAGTTAATGATTGAATTGTAAAGGATGTAACTCACATAGAGATCTAAAAATCTATTTTTTTTTATGTTCTTGTACATTTTAGGATATTCTACTCATATACATTCACTGATGACTGTGTAATCCTTTGTGATTTGAACACTTCTATAAGTAACCATTAACTTTTCTTTACAACATTAACTGTACAATATATGTCAATTCGTGTTGACAGCATGTTTCTAAAAGTTGTTTTCTTTTTTTTGTCAGCTTTGGTCTGCTTTGGTTGATATTAATAAAAAAAAAACTAGGAAATCCAATACAGTAAACTGCTTACAATTAAGAAGTATGATTTGGGATCTTAGTGTTTAAGACCCTTTTTATCATTTGCTTTCATAGTTAAAAGTTGTGTGCAATACTTTCTCCTTCCTGTCCCGGTCCTTTCACTTTTTTTTAAACCTTGTTTTCAGCCATTCCATAAAGTCGCAGCATGTACCTGTTTGCACTGTTATTGAACAAGTCAGTGAAGCTGTTTCCCACAAGTTTCAGAGGCTGCTAAACTGCTTAGGTTTGCAGCAAAGAGGAAAACAGAATAAAAAAAAAAAAGCAGCATGAAAAAAACGACCTGAGTCCAGGTGTACTAAAACTTAATATCCTGATGAGAGAGTGCCTTCGTTGGGTCAGTGTTTACCCTTCCCTCTGACACACAGCATGACCCAGATGCCCTAATACAGACGCTGACAGCGTGGCTGACTTACTGCCAAGACCGAAGCCGTGTTGAGGGGAGAAATGTGTTTTCTATCAGGGGAGTGAGCTGCAACGAAGCACTGAGTGACTGCGCGAAGAGGAGGAATAATGAGGCCAAAAAGGGAGCTGTAAATTTTTCATTGTGTTTGGGCTCGAGGAGACGGAGACAGACACCGAGAGAGGATAGAGGAAGCTTTGCCCAACCGCAGGCATAGCGCCCCCTGGGATAGGACGGGGCCAGTTTAGCTTTTGGAAAAGTCACACCAGTTCACGCAGAACCGAAATCAAAATCAAAGTTTAAAAAAAAGAAAAGGGAAGGGCGTTGGGAGCATAGTGAGAGGACGATTCTGTTCAATAGCTGCAGCCATGCTCGACATGGTGTGAGAAGAGTGATGTTTTGTGGTCTGCCAGAAGGAGGGACATGTGTGACAGAGGGGGGCTGAGCTGTGAGTGGGTGCGTTCTCAGACAGGAAACGGCAGAGTGGCTGTCCGTGTGCGAGGTGCTGAACAGAAGAACATCCTCCTCTGTGGAGAGCTCTTCGGTCTGAGGCCCGAGTAGGGCTACAGTTTTCAAATGGTTCTATTCGAGGACATTTGCGGCCTGTTTGTTCTCAGTGTCCGTACCCCGCTATCATTCCCAGATGAGCCTCTGAACAGAAAGCCAAAATCTAACGCTGTTTGATCTGATTGGATTCTGTGTCTACACTCCAGAGTTGACGGTGGTAACCTAAGTAAGCCAAGGATGTTGGACGGACTGAATGGCTCATTCCTTTAACTTTTATTCAGTAACACCTTAAATATGTGCTTTTATTCGCCATCATTTATTGCCAGTTAAGCACTCGTTTGACTACGGCACTGAAAACACACTTTTCCAACATTAACACAAAGAACACAAGATAAATAAACTCTCTAAAACTATATTCTTTTTGTCTTGGAAACAGTAAATCAGTTTACCATTTCTCCTTTCTTCTATGAGTAAGACCAAAGGCGCATACCTGTGCATACAGATTTTGAAGTGACAATAACTTTCATTTTGTAAGCACTCTCTGTTCAGAGGGCTGTAAGAACCTCTAGAAACTCTTGGTGGGAGAGAAATCCAAACAAGAGGCAATAAAGATATTCAACACCCATTTAACAAGGTCAAATTTGACAGTGTAAACACCTCGTTCTTACTCGGTCCAATTTAGTTTGAGGTTTATTGGGTATGAGGGCAGAAGGAAGAAATGAGGGTAAATGACTAGAACCAAACTCTCTCTCATTAAAAAATGGGAAAAACATGTGCAAAACCTTTCTCCGTTAAGTACAGGTTCATATCTGGTCAGCATCAAATAACTAAAACTGCTGCTGCTGAATTTTCTGCAGGATTTTGACCACACGAACCCCAACAAAGAGTTCAAAATGAGAGTAAAAAGGGCCTTATAGCTTTGAACGGCTGCTTTGCATGCTATCTGAGCGTCTTCCTTCTACACTAAGCCGAGGTATTCAATAGGTCTGCATTTGAATCTTCATGGTCAAATTTTTGCAAATGAGCTTACCACGCTCAATCGCCACGGTCACTGACCAAATCTTTCAATTTTCGCAGCTCCTTTAACTGATGGGCAAAAGGTTCATTGTTGGTTCAGCATCCATTCAGTCCATGCCACTTGAATAAAACGTACTGAGACACTACAAACAAAGAGAATGAGTCCAAGTTCTTATGCCTCATGTCTATAATTTTGTGATGACTCAGTGGTTGCACAATTGATTATTTGATAAATACCAGCTCTTGTCTGGTTCACCTTTAGATACTCACAAATCTCAAATCTCAACAGAGTAAACCAGGCAAAACAGCTTTAATATCTTCAGACGTGCAGAAATGTAACTTGAGAAATCATGAAGATTTAGAATTTTTACAGGATCTAACTTCTGTTCCTCTTATATAAGAAAAAAAATAAATTCCAAGGCCAATTCTAAAAGTCCTGATAACTTAGTTAATTCATCATTCACTTGCACGTTGTACATTATCATATGAAAGCCGGTGTTTTAATCAGTTTTAACAATAGATTCACCAAAGAATGCAGTCTAACCTTTCCAGCTCCGGGTCTGTCAATCCAATCTGAGCCATTCCACCAGAACAAAACAGGACTGCTTTGTGCTTTAAACTTTTACCTCACTGTGATTTATGATGTAGCACAATAATGCTCTTAGCAGAGGCAAATAAACTTGTTTTTATTTAATAGATAAGAGCACTTTTCATTAGGCTTCATGGGCTAAACCAGCCCGATTTATAAAGACCTGCTGGGAACATTATTGCAGATGTTTGATCGTAAGAACTCAGACATTCCTCATACTCGGGTGCGGAGTAACTCAGAATTTGGTGTTTTCTCTCTTGAAGTGAGCAATGCAGAGTCTGTTTGGATTAAAAAACTGTTGGTGAAGACAGAGAGTGAGTTTGTCTTAAGCTTTGGCTCCTGGGGGTGAGAGCACAAAGTGATTAATTTAGCCGGAGTGCATTAAATGAAGCTACGTGGAGCCGGAGAGGAACACAACAAAAGGTCACAGACAAGGGTGCTCTGTCCAAACACAGCTGTGGAATCAATGTGCAAAAACGTGGGTTTGGGTGCACACACACAGGCAGGCTTGTGTGATACCTCTGTCCCAACGGGCCTTTGTGGCTGAGGTCTTAATAAATCCCCCGCCGGCCGGCCCTGCTCTCCAGAGAGCCAGAGTCTCTCAGCACACACTATTTCTCATATCCTCGAGCTGTCATTAAACAAAATACATTCTACAGTCTTTTTCTACTTTCTCGTCCATCTATCTATCTATCTATCTATCTATCTATCTATCTATCTATCTATCTATCTATCTATCTATCTATCTATCTATCTATCTATCTATCTATC